CCTCTGAAAAGTTTTTTATTTTTTAATTATTATATATGGTTCATGTGCTGATCCGGAAAACAGCAGGCCAAGTCCAGAGCACATTACCGGCATGTCATCCAGGTCTGCCTTATTAAGGGCTTATCAAGATGTATACAAAAATTCAGGATTATAATGATTCTCCACCACACTTTGCAAACTGATACAATCATAGAATCACACAGAGTTGGAAGGGACTCTGCCTTCTAGTCCAGCCCTCTGCCCAGTGCAGGATCAACCTAGAGCAGGGGTGTCGAACTCATTTGTTATGAGAGCCGGATCTGACATAGATGAGACCTTGTTGGGCCGGGCCATGTGTGTCATAAAATGTAATGCCAGGGAGTGGAGATAAAAACTTTATAAGGAACACAAAGACAAAGGTTTTTTTTTTTAACTTAAAATAAAAACATGCTTAAAACATTAGCACTCTTGCCATATTTTGTTTATTTAACAGTGTCTGATAGCTGACACCTCTTGCTCTGAATGACTGCATCAAAATGTCTGTGCCGTCGCAATCTTAAGTATGCTGTTCAGGTGTGTATCTGTAAGCCGCAAACCTACGATGACGCAGCAGCAGCAGAACTGGAAGCAGCAGCAGAAGACAGCAGATAGAAGCCCTCCGGGGGCCTGATCCAGCCCCCGGGCCGCATGTTTGACACCCCTGGCCTACAGCATCGCTGACAAGTGTCTGTCCCGTCATTGCTTGAAGTCTGCCAGTGAGGGGGAGTTCACCACCTCCCTGGGCAGCCCATTCCACTGCTGAACTACTCTGACCGAAAAATTAAGCAATCCGTAATGATCTGCGGTGGCTCAAGTGGTTAAGACGCTGAACTGCAGGCTGTGGAAGGTCGGTAGTTCAGGAGTTAGAGACCTGAGTGTGCCGCATGACGGAGTGAGCTCCCGTCTCCAGTTCCAGCTCCTGCCAACCTAGCAGTTTGAAAGCAAGAAATTGCAAGTAGATAAACAGGTACCACTTCAGTGGGAAGGGAACAGCGTTCCGTGCGCCTTGGTGTTTAGTCATGCCAGCCACATGACCACGGAAATGTCTTCGGACAGCGCTCGCTCTTCGGCTTGGAAACAGAGATGAGCACCGCAACCCTAGAGTCGGATTCGACTGGCTTTCGAGCAGGGGAAACCTTTGTCTTTGCCTTTAATGGTCTCCAAGGTCTTTCTCACATCTTCATCCTAAGATTTTCTTTTCTTTTTGGGACCGGAGATGGTGGAGCCAAGCATATTTCTCAGTTATGGATGGTTCAGAGCAATGTTGGCCCTCATCCATAGGATACCCAGTTAAAAAAACAGAAGTATCAGAAAGAATTCTTCACAGATAAAGATGGGTCGCCGTCAATGCTCCCTCTTAGCTGTGGAGTCTCGTGAGCAAAAATTCTACTTTGTGAGCTCCTGGCATTAAAGCTGTGAGGTGAGCCATTTGGCTACCACATGAATTAGTTTGCTTTTGAGCCCTCCTTCCTCACAAAAATGTGTGAGCCGGGGGCTAAAAAGCTGTGAGCTAACTCACACTCACTCAGCTTAGAGGGAACACTGGTCACCGTGTAAGTCTGCCTGTGGCAGTAGAAAAAAAGCAAGACTCCAGGAGCACCTTAAAGGACGAACAAAATGTGCTGCAGGGGAGGAGCTTTCGTGAGTCGCTGCTCACTTCTTCAGGTATTTGAAGAAAGCTCCTCCCCTGCCATGATATTTTGTTAGTCTTTTAAGGTGCTCCTGGAGTCTTGCTCTTCTCTACCTCTTCTGGTAAGATCACAAGACAAGAACTTGCGGCCGCAATGCTCCCTCTCAGCGGTGGAGTCTTGTGAGCAGAAATTCTACTTTGTGAGCTGCTGGCATTTAAGTTGTGAGTGAGCGATTTGGCTACTGAATAAATTAGTCTGCTCTGGAGCCCTCCTTCCTGAGCTAAGACGAAAATCTGTGAGCCGGAAGCTAAAAAACTGTGAGCTAGCTCACACAAACTCCGCTTGCGGGCACTCCATGGAATTGCTGAGCCGTCGGGTTAGAACAGATAAAAGGAAGTCCTTCTTCACCCAAAGAGTGATGAACACATGGAATTCACTGCCACAGGAGGTGGTGGCAGCTACAAGCATAGAGATCTTCAAGAGGGGATTGGGGAAACATATGGAGCAGAGGGTCCATCAGTGGCTATTAGCCACAAGGTACAGATAGGAACTCCCTGTCTGGGGCAAGGGATGCTCCGTATTCTTGGTGCTTGGGGGGGGGGCAACAGTGGGAGGGCTCCTAGTTGTCCCGGCCCTGCTGCTGGACCTCCTGATGGTCCCTGGTATTTCTAGTCACTGTGTGACAGAGTGTTGGACTGGATGGACCATTGGTCTGATCCGACATTGGCTTCCCTTATGTTCTTATACAGGGCCGCCCCCAGCTTATTTTGCACCCTAGGCGAGGATCCCTTCTGGCGCCCCCCAGGGAGAAGCAGAGGTGGTGTTCCATGGCCTTCCTCTGCAGAGCCTTCCTTGGTGGTCTCCCATCTAACTATCAACACTGCTTAGCTCCCAAGATCTGTTAAGACCAGGCTATACTGTAGCATTCCACATCCCCTCCCAGTCTACTTTTGGGCCTCTCCAAGTGTTAAACGGCCTTTGCATCAGAAGAGGTCTCACCAAAGACGGTTACCTACCTTCCAGTCAAAAACAGATAAGGATTCATCCCCCCCCCCACGTACACCTCCTTGCCGAAAACCTCCCAGCCTTTAGAGCATCTCTCCGGCTCTGGATTTTTGCAAGTGACAGAAAAGATATCATCTCAGCTCTGTGGGCTACACGATGATCGACAGCTCGAATGCACAGTGGGAGTGGGTCTTTATTCCTGCAGACGCTTTCAGATTTGGAAAGTGCTTCGGTACATGCGTCTCTATATAAAATTCTATACGTTTGCTCTTAGCAGATTCGTTTCATAAGAACATCAGAGACGCCAATGTTGGTTCAGGCCAAAGGCCCATCCAGTCCAACACCCTTCTAACCCGACCGCTCAGCAATTTCATGGAGTGCCCATGAGTTCATGTATTATGAGAAAGGAAGAAAAGTACCTCTTTCTCTACCTGCTCTACCCCATGCATAATTTTATAAATCTCAATCATGTCACCCCTCAGTCATAGTTCCTCCAAACTAAAGAGCCCCAAGCGCTTTAACCTTTCCTCATAGGGAAAGTGTTCTAACCCTTTTATCATTCGAGTTGCCCTTTTCTGCACTTTTTCCAAAGCTATAATATCCTTTTTAAGGTGTGGTGATCAGAATTGCACACAGTATTCCAGATGAGGTAACACCATTGATTTATATAGGGGCATTATGATATTGGCTGATCTGTTTTCAATACCCTTCCTAATAATCCCCAGCATAGCATTGGCCTTTTTTATTGCAGTCGCACACTGTCTCGACATTTTCAGTGAGTTATCTACTACGACTCCAAGATCTCTCTCTTGGTCAGTCTCTGCCAGTTTGGACCCTATCAATGTGTATTTATAGTTAGGATTTTTGGCTCCAATGTGCATCACCTTGCACTTGGCCACATTGAACCCCATTTGCCATGATGACGCCCACTTGCCCATCCTCGACAGATCCATTTGGAGTGCCTCACAATCCTCACTGGTTTTCACCACCCTGAACAACTTCGTATCACCCGCAAATTTAGCCACTTCACTGCTTACTCCCACCTGCTGGAGACTCCACCTGAGTCTTCCTGCATTTAAAAAGTATAAAGAAAAAGCAGCCTGATTCAGAAGAGTTGTTTTCATGGCAAAGTTGTGTGTTCATGTGTACTTACAATACCAGCTCCTTCATAAACTGAGTACTCGTGTGTTTTCCTGCCAGTCATAGAATCACAGAGTTGGAAGGGACCTCCAGGGTCATCTAGTCCAACCCCCTGCACAAGGCAGGAAATTCACAAATACCTCCCCACCACCACCACCCCAGTGACCCCGGGCAAAAAAGATGACCACCACATCCCTGCAAAACAGACTCTTCTCCCGAGACCTTGACATTTATGCAATTATGAATGATATCTAATAGCAGTTCTGAGCATTGGTATGGCTCACATTCAAATGCTCAAAACGTTTCATATGCACTTTCCCCCTAGTGCTCCTTACAACACACCTGTAAGGTAGGCCAGGGTCTTCCCCATAGGGCAGGTAAATTGCTCATTTGCTTCAATGGAAAAGGGCTGCCCCTGGATTCCATTGC